GTGACCTGAGGAAACGTCCGGAACACCGAGTCCCCCTCCCCACAGAAATGGGTTTAGCATGCGTTGCTGGGCCGGATGAAACCCGTGGGTTGCCTCGCTTCGTTTCCGGGAAGCGATTAACGGAGAGACTCTTTCTCGTGTTGCAAAACATCTCCGTTTGCTGGCTCTGAATAGGCTTTTTTGAAATTTATTTTTTCCATTTGTTTTTGTGTAAGCTATATATAGAGTGTATGTGAAAGTGCGATCTGCGTAGAACATCAGTTGCATTAAAGTTTGCAAGAAGGCATTTTCTGATATGCTGCCATTTTTCTCAATAGTTCCTTTATTGATGCTCTGCGGTATACTTCTGAAGCATATTACGGTGGACTTTTAATCATCCCCACTTTCATAAATTTGGCGCGCACATTTTTAGGACGAAGGAACGAAAAAATAAATGTATTGCATATGGCCTTTTGCCCTTTTTCTTGAACATGGGTTGATCATGCTCAAACGTTTCCTGCGAATTTTCAAACAGTATTAAGCCTATTATCCTGTGTGTTATTCCAGATCTATTTTAACATAGAGCCAAATTAAATTAAATGAAGTACTCCCTTTATTTGTGTATTGATTAAAAATTTTAACTTTTGCTATAGTCTTGAGTTTTTAAAATGTTGCGCTGTGAAAACTGAGTCACGGGCTTTATTAATAGGGGATAAGTTTTTACCTAATTTCGTGGCTAAAAATTGAAAATGAGTGATTAATTCAAGGATATACTTGGTAGTTGAGAAAATCAAAATTGTACTTATTACGTTTTCACTGATGAAATATGAGCCGCATTATTTCAAACCTGAATGATTTGAGTTCCACTGTCCTTCATATATCCAGAAGAAAAAAATTAAAAAGGCCTCCTGAAAAATATGATATATTCATAGAAACACTGTCTCATAAGCTAAAATGAAACGGATTTATTTATCTACGTCAACAGGTTACAAAAGGATAATTTTCCATTTCCACGATTGACAAAATAGGAAAAAAGTTTTTCGTAATGTAGAAAAATGTATTTTTGATCGAGTGAAGTGAACTGACTCGATTTACATAATAATTCTGCCGGTTTTTTTTTCGTTTCTTCTCACAAAAATGTGACCCAAATGGTTTGAAATTAGAATGATTACGGTTCCACAGCATTTTACCTTCATCGCAATAAAGGACTCAAAGAACCCTACGAAAATCGCAAGAATTGTTGATTACCCGTAGCATAAAAATTACGAAGTTTGGACTCAACTCAAATTGGCACCACAGAAATCCATCAGATCGATAAGAAATTTACTCATCTAATACTTTATAATGCCTGATTGAAAAAAAAAACCCGGCCATTCAAAGTTCTTCCCCTTTTGCATTTTTCCCTCGACTGTTCGAAGTGGCGATTTAGTTTTAATGGCAATGACGAAAAGCTACTTGGACAACATATTTTGTAAGAAAATGTATACAGGCTTTCGGTTCAATTTCTCAAGTTTCCTCTACTTTCACTGCGAACCTTCCACATTTAAAAAAGTTAGCTCCTTTCACATTGAAAAGTTTTTCAATTGAGCCTAGCAGAGATTCGGATTATGAATCATCGAGAAGCGCGGAAAATTGTAATTTCGAAGCATGCCTCGTCTCATGCCGTTTTAATTTGTAACAAATCAAATTTTGATTTCACGCAGCGCAAAGCCATCATTATTACAAGCCTGTGCTCGGCAAGAAATTAACTTTTGAAATCTTTGCAGTGGAAATTTTCAGTGGTTCTCCTGGTGGCTATATGAAGGAAAATTTAACGCCTTTTCTCGCGTTATTGGAAGGATGATTGAATTTACAAAAATAAGTGTGAAATTTCGTTGCGACGGACGCCGTTTAACCGAATTATTCGCTGCAGTGAAAAATGTTCAATTATCGCTACAGAAACGATGCAACAAGTATGTCGTTAAAATTATTTTCGGGTCTGATTACAACCAATTTATTTTCTGCAGCTATTTTCTGTCGTTTCTTGTCCAATCATCAGAATTTTGGAATTTTTCTCCCATTTTTCCTCCTCATTTTTACCTCTGATGACGAGAGAAATATTCTTCATGAATATCTACTGTTCAAATTTTTTTTAATTTTGTCCAAAATACAGTCTTTTCGATGGTACAACACTTCCATGAGAAAATTTTGCGAGAGCACTTAGATATTTCAGACGCCATTTTCCCCATTTTATAAAGCTTGCAGATTGTCAGAAAAAAAATGGGATTTAAAGAAAATATTTGCTGAGAAAGTTATTCCAAGTTTAGCTTGCGCAGTATTATTTGTCGAATTTACGAGTTTTTAGGAAAGGTTCCAGAAAGTTTTATTGTAAAAAGTAACGGAGGTGATAGTGTACAGGAGTTTTGAAAAGGGACTTAATTCAGGTTGAAAACCGTCAGGCGTTTCCCACTTTTTATGCATTCACCGCGGTGATTCAAAAATGGAATTAGAGTAATGTGTACCTGGAGGCGCGAATGATGCAAAAGAGCACATGATTTAAATTCGTTGATCAGTTATATATTTAAAATCCCAAATGAAGAGCGCATATGTGTGACTGATTTGCAGCAGCAAGCGTTGCTAGCGACCCCCGCCAGCACCTCGCCCAACTCCTTCTCGCGCAACTTCTGGAGCAGCGCCAGGTGTCGCGGCAATCGCCCGCAGACCACCAGCACTCGGCGTCCACGCGCGTCGACGCCTCTCCGCTACGGCCTCGGTCCGTCGGCGTCGAGTCCGTCGCCGAACAGCAAATAGTCCAAACGGAACCAGCAACCATCAACAACAACAACAGCAAACGGTCAGACACCTTGGAAACTTTGCTCAGGAAACGTGCCAATGTTGAAGAGCGGAGATCCAAACTCAAGTCGAGTCCGACGCTCAAGACCGTCGTGAGTCGGTTGGACGCCTCGGATGACGACGAAGTCCCCGTGAACAGACGCCGTAAGCATCTTCGAGTTAGCCGAAAATTAATGTGTGACGCGAACAGAGAGAGAGAGAGAGAGAGAGAGAGGGAGAGAGAAACGCGAAAATGGCGGCCGACCTTGTGATGGCCGCCGTTTATGGGGGCGGCGAATTTGGGCGAGGCTGCTGGTGGCGTCGGGAATCAACTTTGCCTGCTCCTATGCGCATGAGAAGAAAAAACGAAACTTGCTTGGCTTCCATCATGACATCTTACTCTTCTTTTCACTGTCTTTCTGCAAAAAATGCATTCCATTTACACTGGTGCACCCTTTAACACAAACAAAATCTTATACTATATTTTACTCATGCAACTCATTCACTTAAAAGAGTTAGAACCTTTCAAAGTGAAGCACTGTATTTACTCACGTACCATATGCCCCTCAGTAAGATTCCCACCCTGAATTTTGGCATGAAATTTTGCCAAAAAATACATATTTCTACAAATAAGACTTGCCATATACAGTACAGTAATGATATGACTGAAAATCCAAATTTCTTTTACCAAAGGATGATTTTTAACAAAATAAACCTAAACTACAATAAAATATTAGGAAGCATTGAAATATAATTAGTGCCAAATTGAATATTCTGTTTATTAGTTCCACATACTCACTTAGGACTCACTAATGACTGTCATCACTGGTTTAATGATTTTTATTTTTGAAAAGAGTATAAATACCCTCACACCACATACACCCCACTTTTCAGCCTCAATATATAAAAAAATGAACGTGGTACTTGAGTAAATAAAGTGGGGTTCAGTAAATGTCTGAATTTGAATAATGATAGAAACTGATCAAACATGTTTAATTTGATTGAACTAACCGACCTTGTTAAGCAAGTAGAAATAGATTCTAAAATGTTTTCGAATTTTTTTTGTTGGATAAATACAAGCCTGTTAAGCCAACAAGCATTGCAACATGAAATTACTTGGTCTAAAATTCTTAATAGATTGAATGAGATTCCCAAAAAATTGGATGAGTAATGAAGTTTCTTTCTCAACTTGTGATTAGTTTTTTGTAAATAATTTACCCAGGTTATCAGAACTGCTTGAGTAGTTAAAAAATTTCAATGCGCATTTTCTGCATGACTCAAGTTCATAAAAGCCTTTCTCTTGAGCTAAATCATGTGTGTTCCCTGTTCAGTCATGAAAAATGAATCCTTATGAGTGAATCTGATTAGAAAATTTTGCTTGCATAATATTTATTGCTGCACCCAATATTCTGGGTTGATGATTGAACCATTTTTTATGGGTTGAGGCTTGGTTTTCTGCCTTTTATTTTTTATGCTTCCTGAAGTCATGTTTGTTGGGTTATGGTTTTGATCATCTATACACGTATGTGATACCTTTTGCAGTAAAATTGTATTTTTTTTGAAAATGCAGTTTTAATAGAAAGTAAATTACTGCTGCACTGTATTTATATTCAATATCATGAAAAGAGCTGATGATGAAATATTCACAAGAAACCGCGGAGTCCGCATAAATTTCTCAACCTATAAATATTGTTTTTTTTTATTCAAACACGATTTGTTAACTGTTGATCCAGAAACGATGTCTTGCTGAATCATCGCTGCAATCGGAATCCACTTGTCTACTTGCATGTCGAAGTGTGTCAAAAGGTGTTTTGAAACCCATGGGAAATATTGCTCAATTATTTACAAAAGAATTCTTTCAGGTTAACGTGACTTATTAAATCTGGTTGATGGAACGTGACTTTGCACAAGCCTCTTCATTCATTTGCTTCATGCCGTGGAAGAAAAGAAAAGAAAGCTGCAATTTCTATTTATTTATTTATCCAACCTTTTCTGCAATTCCATTCATGGGAGGGCGCTTTAAAGAAAAAAAAATCATTTCCATGGGACTTGCATTTATAGAAAGACTTTTCAAAAATCGGGGCTTATATATAGAATAATGTATAGAAAGAAACGTGCTTCTCATAATTCTTCTCATCTCGGGCATTTTTTTGAATTGATTGCCGATTTCCGGGGAGAAAATTCTGGGGTTGAGGCGGATTATTTTCGATTCTTGAGGAAGGCGTTTCGTTGAAACTTTTCTTTGAAAATACTTTTTTTTAAATCAGAGCTGTATGAATGGATAAGGAATTAATTATTATATTTTGTTTTTCCCACAACAGGAGATGTCACTTGCGAAAACTGCGTGGATGGGACTGAGTCGAATCTGAAGGCCAGGTGGACAATGCCACTCAATGACATGGGACACAAAAAATACTATCTAGGCATTTTCTTCAAGGTAACTATCACATTCATTTCATTCCCCTTCATCGTGGGGACGAACGATGGAATTCGACTCGAATTATGAAATAATAATTTCTGGGATTTTGTTGTTTTTGTCTCTTTGCATTCCACAGTCAAATTGGTACAAAGCAAACCAGTTTTGCAGGTACCATGGCATGCATTTGGCCAGCATAGCCAGTGAAGAAGAGAACAAACACTTGGAAACCCTCATCAATAGCCAGGGTAATTATGCAATCAACAACAACCTTTATGAAAATATTTCAGATGTCAAAAAACAAGAAAAAAAAAACCTCTACAAGAAGATTCCATATGAATGCTATCCACAAAAAAAAATGTTTGAAGAGGAAAAATTGAGCCAGACAATCCAAGACTGGACAAATGGAGACAAAAGATTTGAGACCGGGCCAATTTGAGACAGGGACAATTAGAGGCAAGGACAATTTGAGACAGGGTCACTTTGAGACAAGACATGGACAAATTGAGGCAAAAGCTATCTTAGCCCTTGGGCAGCAAAGTCAGACTTTTTCTTTAAAAATTTATGTCTGTGTGCACAGATTAAAAAAGATCAACAAACCACCCAAGGCAAAGTCCAGTAAAATCCTGGCATATTTTCTAAGATCCACAGAAAAAATTTCCCCAAAAATAAAAAAATGCATCTCCAAGTCTGAGCTGTTCTTTTAAGCTTCTCTCTGGATTAGCTGAATTCTTCTGAAATTCTTAACCCTTTAATTTTGGGCACCTGAAGAAAGATTCCAATTCAGAGACAAAAAAAGATTAGCAGAAAAAGTCTGACTTAGGGAAATATTAGGAACACGTCTTTACCAGGTAAAGTCCAACTTTACTTAGGAATCTGCTTAGGTTGGTTCAAAGATTTGAGTTTTTCCATGTATGATGAGGAAAACTCACTTGAGATTGTTGAGAGTGATGATGGAATAAATGAGAAACATCCTGGGATCATGGACTTTTCTCAAAACCTTGCCATTTTGGCTTGTTTTCACAGCTTAAACATAAGATAATTGGGAGAAACACGGTCACGTCATTTTGTCTCAAATTGTATCTGTCTCAAAATGTCTTGAATTCTCGAATTGTATTTGTCTCAAATTATTCCTGCCTCAAAATGTTTCTGTCTCCAATTGTGCTGGTCTCAAACTGTTCCTGCCTCCAAAAGTACCTGTCTCAACTTGACCCTGTCTTGAATTTTCTCAAAGCGCAATTTTTGCTTGTTTTCACACCTTAAACATAAGATAATTGGGAGAAATATAGTGAAGTCATTTTGTCTCAAAATGTATCTGTCTCAAAATATCTTGAATTCTCAAATTGTATTGGTCTCAAATTATCCCTGTCTCCAAAAGTTTCTGTCTCCAAATTGCCCTTGTCTCAAACTGTTCCTGCCTCCAAAAGTACCTGTCTCAACTTGACCCTGTCTTGAATTTTCTCAAAGCGCAATTTTTGCTTGTTTTCACACCTTAAACATAAGATAATTGGGAGAAATATAGTGAAGTCATTTTGTCTCAAAATGTATCTGTCTCAAAATATCTTGAATTCTCAAATTGTATTGGTCTCAAATTATCCCTGTCTCCAAAAGTTTCTGTCTCCAAATTGCCCTTGTCTCAAACTGTTCCTGCCTCCAAAAGTACCTGTCTCAACTTGACCCTGTCTTGAATTTTCTCAAAGCGCAATTTTTGCTTGTTTTCACACCTTAAACATAAGATAATTGGGAGAAATATAGTGAAGTCATTTTGTCTCAAAATGTATCTGTCTCAAAATATCTTGAATTCTCAAATTGTATTGGTCTCAAATTATCCCTGTCTCCAAAAGTTTCTGTCTCCAAATTGCCCTTGTCTCAAACTGTTCCTGCCTCCAAAAGTACCTGTCTCAACTTGACCCTGTCTTGAATTTTCTCAAAGCGCAATTTTNTTTTTTTTTATTCAAACACGATTTGTTAACTGTTGATCCAGAAACGATGTCTTGCTGAATCATCGCTGCAATCGGAATCCACTTGTCTACTTGCATGTCGAAGTGTGTCAAAAGGTGTTTTGAAACCCATGGGAAATATTGCTCAATTATTTACAAAAGAATTCTTTCAGGTTAACGTGACTTATTAAATCTGGTTGAGGGAACGTGACTTTGCACAAGCCTCTTCATTCATTTGCTTCATGCCGTGGAAGAAAAGAAAAGAAAGCTGCAATTTCTATTTATTTATTTATCCAACCTTTTCTGCAATTCCATTCATGGGAGGGCGCTTTAAAGAAAAAAAAATCATTTCCATGGGACTTGCATTTATAGAAAGACTTTTCAAAAATCGGGGCTTATATATAGAATAATGTATAGAAAGAAACGTGCTTCTCATAATTCTTCTCATCTCGGGCATTTTTTTGAATTGATTGCCGATTTCCGGGGAGAAAATTCTGGGGTTGAGGCGGATTATTTTCGATTCTTGAGGAAGGCGTTTCCTTGAAACTTTTCTTTGAAAATACTTTTTTTTTTAATCAGAGCTGTATGAATGGATAAGGAATTAATTTTTATATTTTGTTTTTCCCACAACAGGAGATGTCACTTGCGAAAACTGCGTGGATGGGACTGAGTCGAATCTGAAGGCCAGGTGGACAATGCCACTCAATGACATGGGACACAAAAAATACTATCTCGGCATTTTCTTCAAGGTAAATATCACATTCATTTCATTCCCCTTCATCGTGGAGTGGAGACGAACGATGGAATTCGACTCGAATTATGAAATAATAATTTCTGGGATTTTTTTGTTTTTGTCTCTTTGCATTCCACAGTCAAATTGGTACAAAGCAAACCAGTTTTGCAGGTACCATGGCATGCATTTGGCCAGCATAGCCAGTGAAGAAGAGAACAAACACTTGGAAACCCTCATCAATAGCCAGGGTAATTATGCAATCAACAACAACCTTTATGAAAAATATTTCAGGTGTCAAAAAACATGAAAAAACCTCCAAAAGAAGATTCCATATGTATGCTATCCACAAAAAAAAGTTTGGAGAGGACAAATTGAGCCAGACAATTCAAGACTGGACAAATGAAGACAGAAGATTTGAGACAGGGCCAATTTGAGACAGGGACAGTTAGAGGCAAGGAAAACTTGAGAAAGGGTCAATTTGAGACAAGACATGGACAAATTGAGGCCAAAACTATCTTAGCCCTTGGGCAGCAAAGTCAGAAAAAATTTATATCTGTTTGCACTGATGAAAAAAGAGCAACAAACCAACCACGGCAAAGTCCAGTAAAATCCTGCCGTATTTTCTAAAATCCACAGAAAAATTTCCCCAAAAATGGAAAAAATGCATCACCAAGTCTGAGCTGTTTTTTAAAGCCTCTCTCTGGATTAGCTGAATTCTTCTGAGATTCTTAACCCTTTAATTTTGGGCACCTGAAGAAGGATTCCAATTCAGAGGCAAAAAAGATTAGCAAAAAAAGTCTAACTTTGGAAAATATTAGGAACACCTTTTTACCAGGTAAAGTCCAACTTTGCCCTTGGCCACCTGAATTGCTGGCTTTCATGGCCTTCAAGTAAAATGAAATGTGAGCCCACGTACCTGAGAAAATCCCAATTTAGTCCTGGGATGGGAAAGAACCATTTGCCCCTAAAGGTTTAATGAAAATAATTGAGTTTTTCCATGTATGATGAGGAGAACTCTCTCGAGAATGATGATGGAAAAAAAGGAGAAACACCCTGGGATGATGGGGTACCCAACCAAAAGCCCCCCTGCCAAAAGCCCCCCTAGGTCAAAAGCCCCCCTGCCAAAAGCCCCCCACTACTTTTTTATAATTGGATGCAAGTTTCATAAAAGTGCTTGGTGGCCCTGAGAAGGGCTATTTGGTTTCATTAGTCCTCAAAATGACTGTTTAATAATCATCTTCAAAATTGCCTTCTGCTGCCTCTTCCTCACTGTTCTCATGGACTTTTTTCCAAACAGTGCAAGTTTTGTTTGTTTTCACACCATAAACGTAAGATAATTGGGAGAAACACAGTCAAGTAATTTTGTCTCAAAATGTATTTGTCTCAAATTATCCCTGCCTCCAAAAGTTTCTGTCTCCAATTGTCCTTGTCTCAAACTGTTCCTGTCTCAATTTGGCCCTGTCTAAAATTGTCTGTCTTGATTTGTCCTAGATGCTGTTTGAAAAAGCAAACAGAAAGTTTTTGGCACCAATCTGTCTTTGATACTCTACTGCAAACATGCTAAAAATTATTGCAAATAATGCATGATGTCCCTGTATATCATTCTGACACAGGTCTGGGATTGGAACACTTCTGGACATCCGGAACCGACCAAGGGGAAGAAGGCACGTTTTTCTGGCTCTCCACGGGTCGGCCAGTGACCTACACCAACTGGAATGCAGGGGAACCCAACAATTTCGTCTATGAAAACGGGGAAGAAGAACATTGTCTTGAGCTTTGGAACCGGGACGGAAAGGGGCTCAAATGGAACGACACTCCTTGTTCATTTGAAACCTTCTTCATATGCGAGGTCACTGCTTAGGCCAATCATCCATCCAATCATCCATTTAATTCATTCATTCATCCATCCACCCTCGCCAATGTGTTTTAAAATATATTTTTTTTGTACTGTGCCAATCGACGGAATGAAAGGATTGGCAAGAGTCGCGGTTGTTGTTTTAGGGTGCTTTTTGATGCTTGATCGTTTGCTTGTTCATTCGTTCAATCATTCATTTGTTTGTTTACTTGTTTGTGATGCTGGGGAACAGTTGTTTTGTTCACTGCCAGGCGGGATTTCAGCGGATTTTCTTAAACTGCGCCAAAAAAAAAATCGACTGACAGATTCGCAGTTCTTCAATAAATTTATTCAACCGGGGAATTTTTGACATGAGTCGGATCTTCAAAGGGTAACAACTGCTCCTGGTTTTAAATCTGATGAAAAATTAGATTTATAACGGAATTTTGCAACAACAAAAAGTGTCAGCTGAAACGAGAGAAGCATTCAAAAATCAATTTTAAACTATATATAGGTACTCATTTTCAATTGGATTAAATGGTTCGAGGAAAATGGCTTGTTCTTGACTTTCACCTGTTAATCTGGAAAAGAGTGACAGAATTTAAACCGATTTTTCAAAATACATCCGGGATATTAGAAAAATTCTTCCAAATATTCTTCCAAAAATTCTTTGTTGCAAGGCATTTTCATCTCAATTTAATAGCTGAACAGCAGTCTTAAGTCATGTTCTCATTTTCCTTGAATTGTTGAAAAGTTGAAAAAGTGGAAAAAAGATTTTTCCCCTTGACCTTCGTGCATTTTACTTTGGATAATCAATCAATTTTACGCAAAATTCCTGAGCTAATGAGTCATAAAAAGTGATTTCCTCTGAAGTGCTTGAATTAGAATTTTACAGGTTTGTTAAGGCATACATTTGAATAGAGGTCTTTGGATCTCAGGTTAGCCTAGACAAAATGCTTACGTCATGATAATTTAATATTGTCTTAGCCAACTTAAATTTGTATTAGATAGGTACGAAAATTCCAAAGGACTTGAAATTGCTCATAAAACGTTCGTAATTCTTTTATATGTCTTGATCTTTTTCTACAAACTCACTTCAATTCACTCATTTTATTTCAGAAAATTTTCTGTTTAGGTGACAAAAATTCGATGCCTGTGGGTGAAGAAATTGAAACTAGAATTTACAGTTCTTGATTTTTACTTCTCTGCGATAGAAAAGATACTTTTTTTATGAGTTATCCCCGGAAGTCATACGACTTCTTCCGCATTAAAACGTTTCATTCATTTTTGAATCTCGACCAAAAAGTTGCTCAGCGACTTTCTACTTTTTAAAAGTTGGTTGCGAAGCGAGAAAAAAATATGACAAAAGCAATTGTGCGGAAACCTGTTCTGTGAATACACGAGATCCTTTAGGCTTCTCAATTTTTCTTCCGTGTCGCGTGTTATCGTAAGATTTTTTTTTACATTTTAGTTTGCGATTACGATTTTTGCGGGTTTTGATGAAGAAATACGAAGCATGTTGAGCAAGCAACGTTTTTCCGTTGTGTCCACGGCTATGCATTCATTTCCTTCCCAAGCAATTTCCCATTCGTCAATTGTCTAAGCGAGAAAAAAAAAGAAAAAAAAATGTGGCTTGAATATCGCATTTTCTCGTGAGAACGAAAAAAAAAAGATGACAGAAAATAGCTCGTAATATTCATGCAGAGAAAGAAAGTAACCGAACAAGGATTATTATTATTCAAGCGGAAGCGGTATAATTATGTGACTGGGAACTCATTATGCGAGCACTCACGCAAATGAACTTCAGCGGAGTTGTCTTAATGATGCTTTTCGTGGTGAGTATTACTGTTGACCTTCCTATACACAGGCCTGAAATTTTCTTCAGTCCAGGAAGGTTTGTTGAAGTGCGAAGATATTATATTTCGACTGTCCGCATACGTGAAAATAACTCTGAGAGACCCCAGAATTTTCTAGAAATTCAAATTAAAGTACTGCTGTATTTAAAATTAATATACAAGCTCTTTTTTTTCCAGGACGATCATAGTGTGAACCTTATTGAAGCCATGGATGGGAATGAATCCAAAGATGGGACTCCAAATAGTGACTTACCAATTCCACAGGTATTTATTGTAATAAAAAAATTCCTGAGAAATTTAAATCTAAGTAATTCCCATGTAGTTTGAGTGTTTAAGCATTTAAATTATTCAGATCAAAATTTTCCACATTTTTCCAAAACTGGAAAGTTATGTTTTTCCTTTTAATTTAATTGCTATTTCCAAAGCAATAGTATTGATCTGAGCAGAAGGAAAAAATGACTACTGTGCTATAATAGTGGTAAGAATCAATGATGTTTGAATTAACTATAGTATTTTATCTTGCCTTTCATATTGTTTTGTTCATCATCCAAGATCCAATATATTTGTTTCAGAAACCACTTTCATAAAAATTTGAGGCCTGCTTTTCCTGAATTCAAGAGAGTGATTGATGAAAGTAGAGCTCTTTGAGTTTACCTTGACGCTTGAATTAAGATGGCTGCATCCGCAAGGAGCTTTTTAGATTTATGGGGTTTAGAGTTTTTTTGTATCTCATTTCTTTTTATTTAAGGCAATGTCTTATCTTTTTAATAGTGCCTCATTGATAAGAAGGACTTCTGTCTTCCTTTTTCATGGGATTGTCCAAGTGAACTTTTGTATCAGTAGCTCTGTGAGTTTAACTTGATTCCCATTTCCCAATGACATGGCTGCATCCATAAATAACTTTTTTTTTGGAATTGAAAATGCTGCTTTTACTGAATTTTTATTTGTTCAGATTCCTGCATGAAGCAGTTCAAATTAGGTTTCTTTTTCAGATCATATCCAGCTGATACTTGTCAAAGGAAACCAGAAGGAATCAATGAGAACTGCTGATAAACTGAAAACCAAAGGGACTCAAGAGCCAGTTGAACTTTGAAACCGATGGATTAATCATTTCAATATTGAGGTGTAAAAAATATGAACGTGAATGCGCATGTTTTTTAATCAACATTTTTTTGGGGGTTTTTATTTCGCTCTCTTCTCCTAAAGTTCGAGGAAGAAGAAACACTTTTGAAATCCATCACGAGCAAAGTTCTCACACGAATCACTATAAGTTTGCTTTCAGAAAAAACAACACAACAACAACAATAACAAAAACAAAAACGACCAGATTTCGTTTCTACGGTTTCCAGGTAACATTGATGATTTTTTTTCCCTGTCATCTTCAGATCCACGAAAAAATATATATGCACGTTAAGTTTTCTCTCTTTTTTTTTTGCACCGACATTAACAATTGAAAAAAACAGTTTTCGGGGTCATTCGCGAAAATCCAGGCCTCGAGTGGCGAAACATGAAACTAAGCTTCCTCTTTTTTTTCTTCGACGTTTTCTCCATTCAAAATTTTTTTGGCTTTTGATTTTATAGCGCCTTTCATATTTTTTTTTTCGTCAAGAGGAAACTCGTTCATTTTAATACAGGGTAGCCAGCAAAAACCTTGCATCAGCTTGACGCTGAAATTCAGGGTTTTCGTGGCCTTAATGCCGACCCACTTCCCACTTCAAGGCACTGCTCGCAAAATCCATCACACCAAGAAACCGACAGAATCACAGCTAAGTGAAAAAAAAAACAAATATACAACAATTTTCTATACTCCCTTTTCTTCATTCAACAAACGACGAGGAATAACTTATTTCCAACTGATCTGGAAAAAAAAACAATAAATAGTCGCTCTGGGGCATTTTTAAACAATTTTTCTGCAACTCATTTTGTAAAAAAAAAAACATTTCTGTTTGATGTTTTAAACTGAGTTGGCAGAAAGGGCATCTTGCTCTGGGTCTCGGTTGAAAGCCTTGTTGACAACATTGTCAGCATGTTCAAAGAGGGCGTCAATGGACAGGGTGCACTGCGGGTAGGTGGAGCCACAGTCTGCGCCTCCAGCGCCATTCCAGCAGGCTTGCATGATCTCATCCAAAGCAGTCTTCACTGGGGATGGAAGCACTCTTGGGAGACCCACCAAGTCCCTGAAGATGGGCCAGCTGGAATAAGTCATATAGATAAGAGCATTTATTGACAAAGAGCTGTGATATCACAATGAAAGCCCACATTATGGTCATGACTATACACCAGTGTGTGACAGAACAAATTGGCAACCCTTCAGTGGTGGAGGGTTTTCTTTTTCATCATGCAGCAGGGCCAACAATTTTTTTTGTGCAGGCTGCACATTTTGGTATGACCAAAGGTCACCAAAACTACACCAGGCTGAGTGGCCTAAGCTGGGAAATATTGGAAATAATTAGAGAGGCCTGGTGAGGAAAATTGGCAAAGACCCCTCAAGTAAGTTTTACAGATGAAGGTTGAAAAAACCCAGCCTTGGTAGAACTTTGTTGTTTGATGGATAACCCAAAACCTTTTCGCACAGAAAGGAAAATAAATATTTTCCAACTTTGACCAAATTTACCAGTCCAACATTTTTGAAAGTTAAAAATGTATAGTGAACAATTTTTGCAAAAATATCCTGGCACTGCTGCTGCTGGAGGGTTTAACAGGTGGATATCCGGACAATTGAAAATGTGCATGAAGACACCTGGCATTCATTAAAAATAATGGGCTTTCTCCCAGTATTTAATGAAGATTGACTTGTATATATTAGAGACCAAAGCTTATATGTACTGTATGTGCAAAAATTAATATTAAGAAACAATACAAAAAAATGGAAGAAAAAGGGGAAAATCAGATGGAAAATATAAAAAGCAACTTTTTCTTAGAAAATGAGACAGGTATGCTTTGAGAATTTATGATGGGACGGGGTTTATTTCTTTTAGCTTTTAAAATGGATGCACTGTAAATAATTTTCTAGATCATCAGAATTCTCAGAATTATTTCCATCCTCACCGTTCTTTGACTCTGCTATTAGAGACTGGCAGTCATTTGTTTAAAACTTTACTTAAGCCCAGCATTTTTTTAGATACAGGCCTATTCTGGATGAGACAAAGCCTTTATTTAAGAATACCATCAACCCTGCACAACAGACCACTTGCACAACCAAGTTTTACAGAACAGACTGGCTCTGGAGGAAGTTTTTCCTCTTGCATAACAGACAAAATCTGCATAATAGATTTCAGTCTGTGAAGTGAGACAAGCATGTGCCTCACTTCGTATGTTGCTTCCTAACTGGATTTTCATAACAGACGAGTCACAAATTAAGTCTGTTTTGCGGGGATTGACTGAATATGCTACATGGCAGAATATTACCATGAAAACACTCTAGTAGGGTGGGATGTCACCAGGGGCTGGGTTGGACATGGTTAATATGTTGGGGCGGGTTACTTCAAAGAGAACCGCTGCCACCAGTAAAGTGGATTATAAGTTTACTGTACTCCTTTTTGGATTCAGAGTAAGCTAACTCATCTCACTCCAGAAGATCATGAGGTTAACAAGAATAATTGACCTTCACTGGTCTTTGAAGGAACCTTTAAGAGGTTCCCCTACACTACACTCTACATAATGTAGTGCCTTGCCTTGGGATTGGATTCTTAACATTATGTGAGTGACTGTTTCCCTTAACCCTAGGATAGTGAGTGGTTTGTTGTGCATCACCCTACACAGTCGTACTGTTTCAGTTTTCAGGTTAAAGTTTAGTTTATTGACCTAAAAATTAGTAAAATGTGATGTTTCTGTAGTGTGATCTGAATTTGAAAAGAACTGGTCAAACTCCTAAGAAGAGAATAGCAATATTAGAAAATGAATTATATTAGCCATTCTATTTACATTAAGTTATTTGGTTTTTCAATTATGGACTTTCCATTAAATGGATCAAGTCCATTAACCAAGGCACCACAATAGAGACTCAGAGAGTAAATAACCCTTTGGTTCATTCTCCTAATTACCTATGGTTAGCTTTTTCATTATAGTGAACCCCTTTAAAGGCATCATTCATTCTGACTCATTATTCTTAAAAGTGAATTGATGATTTCCAATAATCATAAGTGTGATTAGTTTGAATTTTTAAATTCATAAGCCTATAGTCATGATGAGAAGACCAAATTTTAGAAAAGCTATAAAATTTAATTCTTTTTCTGCTCTTTCTTCCAGCTTCCTTGAATTTTTCCAACTGGCAAAATAGTTTGCAGATATTTAACCCTTCCCCTGATTATCTGAATTAAGCGTCTATTTGTACATTTTAAAAGACAAATATTTTTTGCATTGCCTCACACTGTGAAGCCGGATGCTAGTATAAAAACTTAAGTGAATGCAATTGAGTCTTGGCTGAAGAAAACCCAAATTTCCAGCACAATGGATGGTCGTCAGGTGGAATATTTTAAAGCTCAATTCAAACAATTTCAATCCATTCTCCAAGAAAATTTCAAGGTTTTGATCCCAAAACTGTTTTGCAAACAGCTGGGTCACTATTTTTCATATCACTGTTTAAAGCTGGAAAGTGCCTCAATATTTCATGGACAACATCCCACTTTATTATAGTTTCTTTAAAATGCCCAAAAATGTATATAAATATAAACGTTAAA